AAAAAAAATGTTTAAGACAAAGTGAGATAAATGTTAGATTGTAAATATAATTAAAGTTAACGTGAAATAAATATATTTATACTTAAAGTTGTTGTGATGTAAAAAGAATAAAATTATAATAGATAACATTGGTAGTTAGAAAAAAATTATTTTATTAAAAAATATATAATAATAATAATAATAATAATTTTTAATTTTTTATTGTATTAGTGTTACTGTATAAAAAATGAAAGATAAATAGAAAGATTATTTTTTTCATTTTAATTTATTGATAAAAAAATATACAATAATAATTATTTATTTAATACTTAGTAGTATTACAGTAAAAAAGATCAGATAAAATGAATAGTATTTTTTTTTTGTTTATTTTCACTTGAATCAACAAATCAAGAAAAAAAAGTAACCAAATGTTGATTCTCTTATTAATTTGTGGTGCTATGAGTATCTCATTGAAGGCAAGGCAACCAAATAAAATTAGCCACAAGAAAGTTTTTTATCAATGTATTCACAAACTTGAAACAAACCACTGAATACAATATCTCATTCTGCACTGATACAACATCCATTGTTGAACACATGGTGGAATGAGTACCATCTACACCTTCACAAGATCGAAAGATGTTACACCGAGGAACTAACACCCAGGGCGGATCCAAAAATTTATTTTGAGGGGGACTATATATCTTTTAACAATCATACATTTAATTTAACCATTTTATTGACGTTCACAAATGACAAACAATAGTTATTCATTAAAAAAAAATCCAATTCCTCGCATTGTAGAGAAATCCGTTAAAGCAATTGCATGGGAGTCTAGGAATAGAAAATGATCCACACGATGCCTAACTGATCTTTGAGTTTGCAGAAGAATCAAACGTGTCTTAGCATAAACTAAGACAATGCTAATCAATTATTGTACACTACAGGACAAAAGGCAAACTATGATGGAGCTCATTTCAACCAAAATATAAAAAGGAAACAATAACATCGTTGAGAAGCAGTTTCAACGTTCTTGCCAAAGCAATCGGAACAAAATACCTTATTTCTGGCAGAAAATACCACTCCTTGCTTAAAAATTAGTGATGATGGACCTCGTCATCTTCATGTCCACCGTCTGGAGATCCACCTGGGCCCACCACATCCAGCTGTCGACCAAGATGGAAAAAAATATTTAAATTAACTTGATGGAAAACAATCTAGATGTAGACACAGGCACGGTCGAGGAAATACAAATATATTTGCTTCTGTTTTGAGCAAACTAATCATACGAGGTTAAGGGGCTGTTCGTATAGAAAATATTTCAATCACATCTTAATTCATACTCAAAATCTAACTCAATTTAACTCAAATATTTCAATCACATTTTAATTCATACTCAAAATCTAACTTAATTTAACTCAACCCCCACTATCTTTAATACTATTCAAATAATTAAATACATACAAACCAATCATTCTTACACATCACATCTATTTTAACTCACTATTCATCCATTCACATAATTTTAAGTGACTATCACTTAAATCAACTTTTTTTCAAAAACTAATCCTGGTAAAAATAAAATAAAATAAAATAAAATCATTTCGACCAGTAAACAAGCATACCCTAAGCAAACAAATTACAATTTTTTTTGCCAGAGGACTCACATAATTACAAAACGGTCAGGTTAACCTTCAAAAAATTAGAAATATACTTACCACAAAATACTGTGAGCAAACTGGGCACTCATGAGGCTTGCCCTTCTCCAGCCAAAACCAAACAACATCATGCTCATCCTCTGTTAGATTTTTCATGTAGAAAAACAGATTATCAAATGTGAGCGGGACACTGAAAAACCCACAGAGTACCATTTAAGTGAGAGGGTAACAAAGACTCACCGCCTTCAACACCAGGGCACCCCACAATCCTTTTGTCGTAATAAGACTGGATCACAGCAGGTGCTTCCTGAATGAAAATTTTCCATTTTAAGAAGGAATCAAACCGTAACAAGTTTAACAAAGTCAAAAGCAACCAAGAGCTGTGATTAATTCTAAGCACGAAACTTATAATTTTATTAACAACAAGTTGATTCATTGAACTATCAAACACAGGAAATGGAACTGAAAACTGAAAATGACTTTGCTGGTGCTGCAACTTTGAGTATATATGAACTCTGACGTAACAGGTTTTCATTATTACCTTGAGTGTGCCAAAAGAACTTTTTGTTTAAATGGGAAAAGTTCAAGAAAGTAATCAACTTTTAGCTACAAGAAGTTTCATATAAAATGTGATAACTTATTTCCTCATTAAGACAATGAAGTATTATTTAAAACAGGAATTTTCCTTCCACTTGATCAAAAAGAGAAATTTTTCATCACAAACAATATCCTTTTCACCCTAGCCCTTTGCATATACATAATTATTTCCGATCACAAATGCCGCTATAATGCATTGTTAAAAACATCAACATCCCCTACTGAAATGTTAATATGTACATCTAAAAGTAAATAGCGGCATCCCATGAGATCTAGAGAGAACATGTTCGACACCAAATTCTGCCGATCCAAATCAAAGTTCTCGATGCGGCACTGGATGGATTTGTAAAGAAATATAGATAGTGTGACATTTTGGAAAGATGCAAGGCTATCCTGTTAACAATCAAAGTCAAGAATGTGCCACTAAAAGACTAAAGGAAGTAAGTGCTCTCAACAAAATTCCTGCTAAGGGACGCTTGTGAACAATAACAACCAAAATGGTAAAAAGCTTAGAAAGGACAATTATTTGATGATATGCCAGGATTATGGATGTGTTTACAACCATCTACGTGACATGATTCAGAATTACTTTTGATCATGATTGAGATATCTTACCCCTAGTTTTTCAGTGTCTAATTTAGAGTATGGGTATAAGTACAACAGAACAATTTCATATGAACGTCTAAAGTCATTCTAATAGCTCCTTGTTTATGTAAGTAATATATACAACCACACATGCCGATGCCATGTCGCACCATTTCATCCACACCAATTGTTTTCCATGTAGGCAATCCAACTTAAAACAAGACCAAATAAATCATAAAAAATCAAAGCTATAGTACTAACCTTCGTGCCAAAGGGACCCTCTGGGTAGTCAATTTCTTGAAGATTCTTTCCCTAATCAAACAATGCAGAAGTAAACGGGAAAAGTACTTACCAAACAACCCAAAAATCATCTCCAAGAAAACTCAACTAGACAGATATATAAAGACAGTTTAATACTAACTTTAAGCGCAGCCTCAAGCTCCTCGCGTTCATGACCAGTAGCAATCGGCATTACATCCTCAATCCTAAAGGCAGTCGCATTCCCCACTGGAGCGCATTGAATAACAGAGATTCAAACTTATTATTACCATTCACCACCATAAACTCACCTCGAATAACAGATAAATCCATCGAAAGCATACGCATCGGTATCTCGAGAAACACTATTGAAGAAAAAAAAAATAAAAGTAAGAAAATGGGTTAGGGTTCTAATTAGAAGACATACCGGGTTCCGTCGAGATGTGACGAGTGCAGGAAGCGAATGGCCCATTCGCTGGAGCAATCGAAGACACGGGGACACAACGGGCAGGGGATCGGGCGGGGCCGAGAGACCGCATCTGGATAGCGAGCCTTCTCCACATGATTCGTGTCGGATTTGATCTCAGGTGACCCCTTTGAGTAAAGGATGATTGAATTTCCGATTACAGCAACGAAGAGAGAGGGAGAAATGGAAAGGAGGCGGATGCTGATGATTTTACCATTAGGGTGAGGGTGACTATGAGAAATGGTAAAGTACATAACAGTGCTTACTACCAAAAAAAAAAAAAAAAGATAAAAAAAATAAAAAATCAAGGAAACCACATTCGGTATATCTTTATTTACATTTATTATATATTCGTACAACACACGTGTATTATACGGGTGTTTGCTAATTTTTTCTTTAAAATTTAAAATTAATGAGAAAAAAATAGTTGAAAATTTGAATACTTTTTACAAAAATATATATATTATTATATATTTAGTACGACATTTTTTATTTGTGCGACTTACATGTGTTATATTATAATAATTTTTTAATTTATAACATATAACTACATTAAACATAATATATGAATTAAGAAATAATTTTATTTTTCTAATGAATTTTAATAAATATTATTATTTTTTTTATTATTATAAAGATAAATATACTTTATTTATTTCATATATACAATATGGATGTCAAATCGTAGATCATCAAAAGATGACTAATTTGATGTATTATATATGCAAAACCGATAAGAAATACAAAAGTTATCAACTTTTAAAATACATTACAATTCAATAGCTAATTGAAGGAAACAAATCAAAACTCGGGGATATATTAGTCACTTAGTGTCTCACTATTTAAAATTACAAAGAATTCAAGGGTTATATTAGTACAAGTGATATTAAAATACCTAAGTTAGCTAAATAATATTTATGGAATGTCCGAACCTAAATTATTAATTATTAATATATCAACATTATTTGTCCAAACCTAATTACGAAGCATAATTCTTCGCCAAATAGGATTCCGAAACACCAGAAACAGTCACGTAGGCGCATTCAGGAATTATATATAGGGGGATTTGTAGCATTTTTCGGATGACTATACAATGTTTTTGCCTCGCGTTGGCTCGCACGTATAGTGTTTGCGCGTGTTCTAATATATATATATATATATATTTTAAAAAGATAAACTTTTACAAATAAAAACATAAATTTACAATCACCTCTGACATGTGAGACCACATCTTTCTCGTCATCAAGCTCGCACATATGCATCGACTTATATATTCGGGCACCAAGTGTATGATGGGGGTCATCGATAATAGGCTCATTTATTCTTGTCTCAACGGATTGAATGTGCTCCGTTATACCCTCTAATTTCACCACCAACCGAGCACATCCAACCTCAATCTCCTCTAATTGAGTTGCTTGGGCAGACACGCGAGCAAGAATAAGATCACATTTTTCGTCATATGTTAAAGTGTCCTCCCTCTTTGCACGGGGGGATCGGGGGAGAAATTGTAAACTCGATCCTCTATTGCTCGAATATGCTCTGTTAGGTTCTCCAGTTCGACCTCATATCTTCCCTTCGAGCTGCTTGGGATGTCAAGATAGCAAACATTCGGTCAACCTTTGCACTATACTCCGAAGAATCTTCACGGGATTCATACGATTGCTCAACCCAGATGTGATCCAACTGTTGCTCGTACGGGTGTAAACATGTTTGGCCATAGTGCTTCCAAGAGCGAGTGTACGAAAATGAGACAGGGTAGCCACAGTTCATTGAGCTATTTGGTCAAATTCCCTGCACACAAAAATCTAAACAACCACACGAAGCAATGAAACCCAATAGAAAAACAAAAACAAATAGTAAATAAAAGACACAAGGAATTGTACACAAACACATAAATCAGAACATAAAGAGAAACATAAGAAAATAAAATCAACACCAAAACAAAATATCCTACTTGTCTTCTCGTGCAACGATTACAAACTTTTTTGTAGCAAATATTCCTTTATCGAGTACGGAATGAGGCCCAACCTCGGCTCGATCTCTCGAGGAAGGCGGATTGAAATCTAAATCATATATTATATACAAAAGAAAAATAAAGTTCTTCTAATCATGAGTTAATTTGGATAGAATTATCTAAAGAATACTTAAACAACTAATCTAAACTCGAATTAAATAATTATAATAAGAGAAGCTAGGATTCGTGAATAAACGTTTCTAGTCCCAAAAGCAACAAATGGGAATTGATTGTTCGGTTCAAAGATTGAAACTCTTTCCTAAACACCTAATGATTCACTCCCAATAATTCTCATAACAAGGCATTGTACATAAATTAGCAAGTTTAAGCATACGCACGAGCCTAGAGATTCGCCCCCGATAGTTTTACGAACATGAAAAAACATGTATTTCAATAAACAAACTTATAGACTATTCTATTACGAAATCGTCTATCCCATACGAGCCTAGGTCTAACAACTCCTCCCATTTCAGTTCTAAAAGTTGTTTAATTAGATCCAAAGAAAATGTCCACCTCATATGAGACTAGGTTCAACAACTTCTCCCCTTCCGGTCTGCAAGTTGTTTACATAACAGACGATCAATCAACTAACCCCTTATAATTGAGCAGCTTGCACCATATTGAACAACGATTCACAAACCCAATAATCATAAGAACAAGAGCAATCATCCCTTATCCCTAGTGAACAAATTTAGCTCATCATCTTGAACTTAAAACCAACAATCAATTCAGCCATGGAAATCAAATTCCTCCACAAATGAAACTGAAAACTTACAATTCAACAAATGTTGGATGTTAATCAACGAATACAATCCAAACCCACATTTCGATTCTTGGAGTGTCACTCTCCAAGATCAAAACCAACAGAAACCATGTTGAATAATGAGCAAAAGTTGAGAAAAGTGAAGTTTGAAAGTTGTCTTTTGGGTTACGTACGAGTCCCAATAAGTAATGTTCAAAACAGGGCAAAAAAGCATCAGAATACATTTTTGTAACTGCAAGCTTTGCTTGAGCGAGAACCTTCATAGACGCGACGAGCTGAGGTTGATGGGAATGTGCTGGGGGTGTCGTCGGGTGTGCTACGAGGCATTGCATTGTCAGGGGCGCGACAGCCATCGTAGTCACGTCGGCCTATTGTTGGTAGCACGACGAGGTCGTACACGCGATGCCAGGGTTACTATGAAAGAAGCGCGCGATGCCTGATCGTGCATGTGAGGGCTTGCACGAGGCTGCTGGGTGATGGGGCTCGGGACAAGGGCTGCGTGTACAGGCTTGTATGGGCACAAGCGTGCTTACCAGTCGACTGGTTGAGAATTTTCTATTGAGCTTTTCGACGAGTTTTTCGGTGAGTTTCCGAAGCGCATTTTCCTATAGAATAAAATATAAAAGTAGACAAAAATACATAAAAATATGCAAATAATACAAAAACACACAAACGAGCAAAATCAACCTAATGGACCGATATAACTATAAAACAAACTCAAATAAGCTAAAAATAAGACCATAAAACACACAAAAACAAACAAAAATACACAACAGGGAGCTCGGCGGGTGATCATCTACTCAGACTCCCAGCTTGTCTTCAAGCAAGTAAAAGGTGATTACGAAGATGAAGAAGATCATATGTAGAGGTATATAACTGAGGTGGAGTCACTACTGAAAGGGTTCGCGACCTTGGAACTTGTGTAGATACCAAGAGGAGAGAATGAAATTTTGTGGGTATTACACAGAATTGCGTTGGATATTAGAAACAGTAAACTAGAATTTAAGTTCACACAATTGTTGACGTTAGGTTCTATAAACCCTAAACCTTCAGAGGAGCATCCCACTCCCCCTTTGGAACTCTTTCACATACGTAAATGTTTAAATCATTACAACCTGGATTTACAATGAAGACTCTCTCTTCACTACCTATTTTGTATGTAATTTGATACTTGAACACCAAGTATCCAGAGTTGCACGTAAATTGAATAGACAGACTGTAATGAAGATTCAAACAATTGCGGAAGCAGTTTTTCACTGAAAATTGAATCTTTAGGAGAGCGTCCCACTCTCCCTTCAGATCTCTTTCATTAATGTGAACAACTCATACATCATCCAAGGGTTTACAGTATAGACTCTCTCTACACTCTACTTGAATGATGATTCACACAACTACTTATCCGACCACAACACCCTTGTGGATTTTCTAGTTCGAATCCCTCAAACTATAAGAACGAACCTCCGAACGTTCTTTTACAAAATGTTCTAAAATATCACTCTTTTTTACTCACCGAAAGAAAAAAATAATTAACAAAAAAGATATCAAAAGTCATCCTCAACTCTGGTCTCGTCCTCCTTTTATCTTCAGCATCCTTTTTGGAAAATCTTCTCATCAAGAAAAATGCATATAAGGAATAATAATCTCGCGATTCTCCTTCTTCGATTATGGAAGGTGAATCCTGCGATTCTCCTTCTCTTTAAATTATGGAAAGCGTATCTCCCCCTTAATCCCAAGGTCCTGCCATAATAAAACATAAATAATCAGTCCTTTGGACTTAATTAAAATTAAGACTTATTCATACCAAAAATAAACTTCCCTTAAATACTTCCGTAAATTTCTGGTCTCTGTGAACATCAGAAGGTTCATCGATTTACTGCCAATCTTCAGCACTTTCAATCTCCTCATTTGGCAGATAAATTGAAAACCATGAACCTGCAAAGATGAAACAAATACAAAAACTGCAGAATACACAACTTCCTAAGAATACTAATATCACACATATGTTGTTCTTAGGAACAACTTCAAATACCTGAATACCAGCACATTAGTTCACAAAATATCCCACAAAAGTTCATCAAACGCAAGATAATAAAACATAAGGGAAGAAGTTCAAGCAAAACACACAAAACAGAGTTTTTAACAAAAGGCAAATGAAAGTCCTGCTAGGAGATAGCTATGCAGATTCTTCCTCGTCATATTCTTCCCCAGAACCTTCTTTAGCACCATCGTCAGTCCCTTCCTCGGAGCTTGCTTCCTCTTCATCATCCTCGGTATCAGACCGAGCTTCTTCATCCTCTCATTCTTCTGAACCTTCATCTTC